ACGACAACTCTTCATCACCAATCGATCCGGCTCAGTCATCAGTCTCGTGTAGCCTTTACTAATTACCATTAGAAGAGCAAGAGAGTCGTTACTCTGCAATCAGCTCTAGAAATGGCACACCTGAGGACGACCTAAGCAAGGCCACGTACTATTATTGTCGGCAGACTGGCCATCTTGTATCCAGGTGTCCTCATTCCAGATGCAACACCCAAAGCCAACAAATGAGTCTTCCTTCCACGTGCCGTAATTCTAGCATACATTCCACTTGTGGGCCCTGTTGATGCGTTTCTAGACAGTAGTTCCAAACACACAATGCGCTCGCTGAGTGTTGTAGGATCTTTAAACCTGTTACCATAATCCAAGCCTCTCATATCTGTTGTAGGTGGTAGTTCCGTCACGCCAGTTGGTACATTATGTACTCGTATTACTGTGGCGTCTATTTCTGCAGTGCTTGAGGTTCTAGTTCTGGCTAGAAACCCCTTGCCTTTGATCCTGGGAAGGACTGGTTTGAGGCCGCTCACGCTGCACTAATTGTAAGGCCACCTCATCTAACAGAAATACGCCATCCCAGCACGGGTGTTGTTATGTGATGTCTGGAGAAGCCGCTGCCAAGAATGTCTAATGCTGTTGTGCTCTCGAATAGCTCCACGTGTTTTTTTTTTTACACAAGCTACGTCTTCTGCAGCCTATTCGCCGCATTCGCAGTTGCCGGACAACACCCAAACCCCATGCTTACCTCTCGACCAGAATGAATAGTTGCCCTTAGCAGAAGCCACAAGAACCGAAGAACACAGCACTTCGCATGAGGGACGCTATGTTGGACATGCCATGGCTGCGTTGTACTCAGATAGGCCCACAGCAACAAAAAGTTATTGCAGTTAACGACGTCTCGCATCAGCCTATTGAGCTGTTCACCACAAATGGTGATGACTTAAGGCTCTGCAAAGATGCTGAGCATTTCACCGACCTTTTGCTAAATGCACGTTAACCATGAAGAGACTGCAAAAAGAATCGCAATTTCATGGAGTGTTGATGTCAAGTGACTCATGCTGAAGGCTCGGTCACCAAGACGTCACAGCTAGAACAAGGACTTTACCAGACAGTAAGCCAGCTGCTGAAGGCTAAAGAATTGAATACAAAGAAACAACGGGACGCCAAGACAAGTATCCGCTCAGTGCCAAGGAAATATGTCAAATCTCTGGATAAGCTTCAGCATCTCAGCCGTAAGATTGAGGCTTTCCGAAATAACAAACCAACAGGGGGTGAGCGCAAGGACAAAAATCAAGCCGTGAAGCTAGCTGCTAAACCACACAAGTAAAGTGACACAAGCCAAGTCCAGACAACCTTGCCATTGATAGATACACGAAAGCAGGAAAAACACACAAGAGTGCTGCTGCCTTCTAACGCAGCAACCACGTCGTCTACAGTAAGCTTGAACTGTCTGACATGTCAGCTGGTACAGATGCATGGCCCAATGTTGAAAAGGAAGAGGTTGTCTGGCAACTGGAAGCAGCAAAAATGAAGCACCTTAAGGAATGTGAAATTGCTATGCGAAAGGGGTTCAGGATAAGCGGAAATGCCACTGAGCTCTGGACAAGAAAGAAGCTATCAAGGTCAAAGGTGACCATATTTTGATGAACACATCGCTGAAACAGTGCAAGAAGACGAGGCAGAAGTGGCACAAGAAGTAGAATTCACGCACTGGGCACGCTAAGCAACGTCAGACAGAACGCCAGCAGAAAAGTCAGGACAAGATCAAGACACAAACAGGCCAGACTTCACACCGAGATGAAGCGGCTCAAGAAAAAGGAGTGCATTGTTCCAGGATGCGAGGAAGATATGAAGGTTTTGGTGACTGCAAGACTTAGACAAAAAAAAAACAGGGGCGGGTGTGACATCAAAAGCTCGTGTACCATTTCACACACACAAAAAAAGAGCAGCCAGATGGAAGACTGCACATAATCTGGCAACTTTGTGTGACAAGTTCATCTAGTCGTGATGCCGTTTTGTAGCTGTTCCTAAGCACACGTGCACCATCATTGCACTGATGCCGTAGCTCCTGCTTATTAAAGTCATTTTTGTTATATCATCGCCTTGTCTACGTTGCCGAGTCCTCACTGTTAAAATTTGTTCATGCACCAATGTCTCCTAATCGTAATATAACTATATTTTTTTCAAAGTGGCGCACCGGCTGTCATCTCTATGTTCGAGCATGTTTGCGGTGCAGCTGGTTTAAAACACGTGCTTTTGATATTTCTTGCGTGGTATGTGCTGCCATGCTTCAGGAATATTTCTGATTTTTTTCATGGGCTGACAGCTCTCCATTTTGTTTTATTCGCAAAGCGGCCCTGCTTGACTTTTTTCCATCCCTTCTTTTGCTTGGCATGTGCTCGCACGCTTGGAAATACGTGGAATTTTTTTCAACTACCGATGTCACTCCAATTTTTGTTTGCTTTTTGAAGCGACGAGGCAGCTTTTGCTTGTGCATCCAAATGCCCACATTTTCTCATTTGGCTAGTTTCATTTATTCATTTACATGAATGATGAAATGAAACCTCCTTGCGTCTGCAAAGCTGATAGCTGCCTGGTTGTCTGAAAGGGTAACTGCCTGTGACTTGCTTTTTTATTGCTCCTTGGGGTCCGATTAGATCGCTCCCATGTGGCGCTAAATTACAGAAGGTACCCTGCCATGGTTGTATTTCCTGTTTTGGCGACTCAGAAAAACTAACTCTGTCTCATTGGCAGTCAGTAAGAAAAAGGATCAGTTTTCACTCATTTTGCTTTCTCCACCAGGGCATAACCACAGTTTTATTTCATGTGCTCACTCACATAGTTCATGATACGGAAGTGAGTGCTCGTAGCTCTGCTGCTAGTGGGTCGAGCGGTGATTTTTCCGATGCGCTGTATCAGAATCTGATTCACTGGATGTCACTTCGTCAGACGAGGATTAACCTAAGTGTTTACACTTGATTGATAATCAAGGAGCGACATCTCGAAAGCGTGCGCAACTACACAATCCAAATCAGTTCAAAGGTGCTATTCCTTAGTGTTGAGCGTTAGTTTCTTGGTGTTTTAGTATTAGAACACAAGCATTTTTTACCAAAAATTTACTTTGGTGTGCCTATTTTTTTCAATCAAGTTACATGTGAGTTATGTTTATTACAATGCACAAATGTTATATATGTGACGCTATGATGAATGGCAGACGTGGCCTGGCTCATACCCCGTGTTTATTCCATTCTGATCTTCTTCCTTCTCTGCCTCTACGAACCATCGCTTCATATGTCACATATATATATTTGTTTCTTTTTAGTATTTCGCTTGATGTTACTATGATGGAACCATGTGTCTGTAACAACAAAAATAACTTTTTTTGTCACTTTACTGTCAAGAACAAAAAATATTGACAATTTTTTCTTCAACAGAATCGTCTCAAGAACTTATTTCTGCAATAAAAATTTACACATTTTTGGACTGCATTTCGCAAAAAAAAATTTGACACTCCAAGGATTACAAGTGCTGCACTGGAATCGAGCAAGCAGAGGTAATCAGAAGCATTACGGGAAGGCTCTAGTTGTGTTTATTGCAACAAAAAATACTGTATTTACTCACATAATGAACGCATTCGCATAATAGGTAAATGTGCCCCCAACTTCAGTCGTCAAAATTTTGATTTTTTTTCCCGCGAAATGAACGCACACCCTACATTCTTGCACTGCACTCCCGCTAACCGACACTTAGCGCCTCCTTAACCGTCGGATCTCTTTCACTTTTTTTTATTATTATGCTGACCCCCTTTGGCCACCTCAGCTCGCTCCCCCTTCGCCCGTTGCCGCATGCTTATTGCTTTTCTTTCTATCTGTGTGCGGCATGTCCCCTGTCTTTTTTATTTGTGCGCCACAGCGAAGCTCACGAACAGTGCGAGCGTAGAGAAGTTGCAGCTGATATACACACAGCGAGCGAAGGTCATGAAACTGCCTGCGCAAATTGATGCTCGCTTCCCACAAATACGAAACTGTAAGGCCCAAGGACGTGCACGCGATTTTCGAACCACGACAGCAGGATTTCCTGTCGCAAAGGGTCACTCATCACTATCAAGTCGCAAGTTTCCGGAAAACCATAGAAAATAGCTTGTCACCCAGAAAAGACCGTGATGATTTCCGTAACATGGTTGCACCCCCAATTCTCGCTTCGCTTGTTCTCTGAACATACAGGAATTTCTCAAGTGGAAGCAAGGCGGCGGCCATTTTTTGTTGTTAATCTTGTTATTAACGGTTTGTTTTGATGCTTCAGGATAGCTTGCTGCAATGTTGGTTACTTGCTACAATGTCAACGGGGGCGGCGCGGTCATCGTGCAAGGTTGCGACGAAGTTGGCAAAGTGCGTCGTAGCGCACGCTTCCGGGCGCCCCTCAAGATCACAGCAGATACCTCTGTTGCGGTTAAACGATTGTGAGAAAAAATAGGCACAAAACGCTTTTATGACGTTGCCGGGAGACGTGGGGACAGCTTGCAGAAGATAGCGCTATCAACCACCGAAGATGAGTAAAATGCAACAAAGATGCCGTTTCTAAACAGTGTACACGTATGTAAATTGCAAAAGACTAAATGACCTTACTTTTTTTTGCATTGCTGCCTGTTTTGCTCATCTCGAAAATGTTTTTATAAAATTTGCCCCGCATAAGATATGCACCCCCAACTTTGCTCGCACGCTTAAAAGCGATTAAAAAAGTATGTTCATTACAGGAGTAAATACAGAAAATTGGAGACATAAATAGTTCGATGCCCGGTGGACTTATGAATTTTGGCACTGTTGCTGCAGGCTCGAATGTCGACAGCAAGGCGCAGGAATGTGGAATAATAGCAAAATGGCACCACTGGCGCAGTTGAAACACCACTATACAGTGTGACGCAAAAAGTGGATTTTGATCCCTAAAATAACGAGCGAATCAAAGCTTCGTACGAACATTCTACCAGGAACAAATGAAAAAAATGTGCTCACCTGGTGGTTAATAATAGCTGGTCCTTCTGCATCTGCTGAGCAGTACGTAGCAGGCACCTGCGTTTTTCCTCCAGGCTCTGCATACACCATGACATGTCTGTCAGCAGCAGCCTCAAAGCATGTGGAGGACACTAGCAACTAGCACCGGCCTAAATGTTCACACCCGCCATCACATCAAATTTGTGTATGCTCCCATGGTGACTGCCTTGTTAAATAAGCTTCTCTCTGTGCAAGTCATTCAGGAGTTGGCGGCTGGCCTCATACAGCCAAAAAGTCATGCAGAGAGCGACTGATACAAAGCAGTAGCTTTTCTCCAAAATCTGCCATTTGCAACCAGTTGTCCTGCAACTAACATTGTTGCACAACTGAAGCTCGTCATAGGTGTGAACAAGTTTTCACAGCCCTACTTATGCTAAGATACCACAAATCAACGTACCCTACACATAAATAGTAAAAAAAATATTTTGCTTCATTCCAAAGCTAGATGAGTAAAATAAAAATTAAAAAAAAAACAAGAGAAGGCTATGTTTTTCCTGAAAAGAGGACTCTAAAGTCAATCAGTAGCTGTGAACTAGGTGTCAAAGGCCCCAATGGTGGAGTTAAAGATCTAAGGTAATGATTGAGGTGAGAAATAAAAAAAAAAATGAAGTGTGAATACACAATATTTTGCAGTTTTATGTATTTATTTACACCTATGTAGCAAGTGTTACGAGGACACTTCGGTCTCTGCTCCCACATTTCAGCCCGTATAACCAGGTTGCTGGCAGACTTCTACAGAAAAAAGTAGCGAATTACAGCGGTCGATTCCCGCCCCAAACAAGCAGCTGAACACATACAGAAATGTAGTTGATTACTTTTATATTACTTTTTTCAAGATTATATTGCCACAATGCAACATAGTATATGTGGCTCAGCCAGTTTCTATTTTGATGCAATTTTTAGGGCCATAAAAAGTTTGTTATGGAGCAGATTTGGAGCAGGAATAAATGTGTTTTAGAGCAGTGACAACGAGATTCAGGATCAATTGGAGCAGCACATGCCAACATTTTTGGTAAATGTTCTTGTTAGGGTGCATGCGAGAAATGGTGCTACAATGTCAACAAGCAGACAAAGCCCAAGTTTTTAGCAGGAAAGAGTGTCACATTCTGGCTTCACTGCACAGCACAAGGCATGCACTGAAGTGAGGTGCAATCCTTGTAACGAGGCAACCATGGCGCATACCGTTCCTGCGAATGACAGGTGTCATAAGGTCAGCAAAAAAAAAACATTCTTGATCATAAAAACAGCGGTCTAACAATAAAAATATAGAAGACGATGAAAACTCGTGGCCAATCGGAACACACTGTTTGAAATCGCCTGAATAGATAGTGCACTCAATATTCACCAGAACTCCCTATGGATCCATCGTGCTCAATAATTATTGGTGGCATGAGCACCGAGCGGCATTACCTTTCCCTTTCAACAGCTTTCGGCAGAGCACTTACTTCCGGTTTTCAAATATTCAGAGAGAGTCACCTAAATAGTAATATACTGGTATGAAGTAAACTTGTACAAAAAGGCCCAGACTGTGATTAAACCAAGAATAAAAAAATGGCAGATCCCACCTATAGTGGGAATTGCTGATATGCAAAGCTCGAATGAGCAAGGTTAATACGTCACAATAAATAAGCACAATGTTATGAAACGAACGTGAATTATGCCGTACATGACCTTCAAGTCATCATTATCATGTTTGTGCCTGACATTTGTGTTCATCGTCCATTCACATCCTGTAATACCCAATTTGGTATATGTGAAGCTAGTGAAAAGGGCCACGAGCGTGCTATAAACATGACATGTAGTGATGTTTACATGACATGCTTGTCATTATTATCATGTTTTGGCATAGCATTTACCTTTGTCGTATATTTACGTCACGTAACACCAATTTGGTATATGTGAAGCTAGCGAAACAGTCGCAAGGGCATCATGAGCGCGGTACGTAGCCATGTTTTTTACATGACACGCATGTCATGATTATCAAGTTTGCACCAGTCATGCATCTTCATCATTCATTCGCATTACGTAATACCCGATTTGGTATATGTGAAGCTGGCAAAACGACCACGAGCGCATCATGAGCGTGGCATGCAGTCATGTTCTTACATGACACGCATGTCATGATTATCACATATGGATGTGTCGTTTGCCTTCGTCATCTGTTCGCGTCACGTATTAATACCAAATTTAGTAAATGTGAATCTCGCCGATCAGCCATGAGCGTATCAAAGCCTGGCATGTTGTGATATTTTCACAAGACACACATGTAATGATTATCATGCTTGGACGTGTCATTTACCTTCCCAGTCCATTCACGTCACGTAATACCAAATTTCGTATATGTGGAGCTAGCGAAACGACTGCGAGCATGCTATGAGCGTAGCATTCATGTTTTACATGACATGTATATCATGATTATCATGTTTGGACGTGTCATTTACCTTCATTGTCTATTCATGTCACCTGATACCAAATTTATATACGTGGAGCTAGCGAAATGGCTGCGAGCGTACTATGAACATAGCATGTAGTGATGTTTTACACGACACACATGTCCTGATCATCATGTTTGCACCAGTCATATACCTTTGTCATACATCCATGTCATGTAATACCATATTTGGTATTTGTGAAGCTAGCAAAATGGCCATGAACGCATCATCAGCGTGGTGTGTAGTCATGTTCTTACATGAGATGCACGTCATGATTTTCACGTGAAGACGTCACTCATGTTCGCCACGCAGTCATGACATACCACACGAGTTTTGCAATATGTCGTGTGAATGAAATCACCGCTGCAGCAGCAAGACCACGACATGTATATTCTGACATTCACGACATACTAATCATGATTTTCATGTTATGACTAGTCATTTGTGCTCATCATAAAGTCATATTATGCCTTACCAATTTCGGTATAGATCTTGTTATCCAAACAGCCAGCAAAGCTAGAAGTTGTAGGCGGCTAGATGGATAGATACTGTCAAACACATCGAACTTCACTAAGAAATGCTTTACATTTAAAAAAAGGGGAGGGGTGGAGAGAGGCACTCCACCAAGACAGCTTTAAGGAAAAACTTGCTTGTTGAAGCGCTGGCATTAGTGACCCCCCGTGTACACAACATTTTTTTCTCTTAATACAATCGAGCCCACATATAGCGGCGCCACTTAAAAGGAACTTTCAGTTAAAACAAACAATATTCGTGTGACCGTGAAAATATACATTGTTTCAATAGCACAAAATCGCACTTACAACGAACGTCTCCAAGCACCAACGATCGGTTACAGCGAATAGAGTTCGCACTCCGCCGACTATCGGGAAAGCACTTTCGACCACCGATCAGGAATCGGTGAGGTGCCCATAGATTCTTATTGTTAAACGCTGACCCTGCCTCCACGCCCCTTTAGTTGCCGCTCTCCCCGACAACTTTTTGTTACGCCACCCGTCCGTCCTTTGAGCCCCCGCTACCCTGAGCACCCTGCATTGCAGACGCGGCTCGTGTTCTCACACTGCCACCGATCTTTCAAAGACTACAGGTTTTCCCGCTCAATTTAATCCAAGCGCCAGCCAAATTAATCTAGGCGCCAGTCAATTTAATCCAGCCGCCACTGAAATTAATCCAGGTGCCATTCATTTTAATCCAAGTGCCACTGAAATTAATCCAACCGCCAGCCGATTTAATCCGGACGCCAGCGAATTTAATCCTGATGACATTGTGACTTCAAAACGACCCAGAATTTTCATGAATGCGTGGACTGAATAGCTTTGGAGTGAATTTAACAGGGAAAAGCCATGAATGAGTCACTCGTGACACAATGTGACTCGCGCGACATTATCTCGCCTATCACCCGCGTAAGCACTATTCACACCTTCGACATGCATATCAAAGGCAACGCCGTCCACACAGTAATAACTTGATAATTATTAACCAGGCCAATGATCTCATCACGAGTGACTTAGGTGACGTCCTCACGCATATCACCCACGCACGCACTGTCTTAACCTTCCGTCATGCATATCAAATGAAACGTCTTTGAAAGGGCGGGATTTTGATACCTAAAACTCGGCCAAGTCACCTGATAACAAGTTCCTCAGGCGACGTCATCACAAATATCACCCGCACACGTAATTTACTCGCCTACCGACATGCATACCAAACGAAATGTCTTTGAGAGAGCGATAACGTGTTACCTATGACTCGGCCAACTGACTTGATCACTTGTGATTTAGGTGACGTCATCAAGCCTATCACCCACGCACGCAATGTCTAACCTGCCATCATGTATACCAAACGAAACGTCTTCGAGAGGCGAATAAATTGAACGCTGTCAATCGGTAGAGTGACGTGATCACTAGTGACTCGTGTGACGTCATCGCGTTTGACAACCACGCACGCAGCGTCTAACCTGAGTTCATACATATCAAATGAAACGTGTTTGAGAGAGTAATAACTTGAACGCTGTCACAAGGCCCAGTGACGTCATCACTAGTGACTGCCGTGACGTCATCTCGCCTAAGACTCTCGCAAGCACTCTATAATGTGCCTTCATGCATATCAAACAAAACGTCTTTGAAAGGGTAATAACTTGAATGCTGGCACTAGGCCGCGTGACGTCATCACTAGTGACTCACGTGACGTCATTACGCCTATCACACGCACACGCAGTGTCCAAACCTGTCTTCATGCATATCAAACGAAATGTCTTTGAGAGAGTAATAACTTGAACGCTGCCACAAGGCCCAGTGACGTCATCACTAGTGACTGGCGTGACGTCATCACGCCTATCACACACGCACGCAGTGTCCAAACCTGTCTTCATGCATATCAAACGAAATGTCTTTGAGAGAGTAATAACTTGAACGCTGTCACGAGGCCCAGTGACGTCATCACTAGTGACTGGCGTGACGTCATCACGCCTATCCCACACGCACGCAGTGTCCAAACCTGTCTTCATGCATATCAAACGAAATGTCTTTGAGAGAGTAATAACTTGAACGCTGTCACAAGGCCCAGTGACGTCATCACTATTGACTGGC